ACTTCACCCTCGGACGGAGCTCGAACCATACCTGTGCTCTTTCTTGTCCTTTACTTCTATAAACGGTTTTCTATGAATTAGGAAAGTACAAGTGATGAGTAGCTCACTGTGCAGCTTTGACGAAACCAGGAATGACGTCTCGATGATACTCCACAACTTCGTTCCACCGTTGATCAGGTGGCGTGTCCAGATTTATCACGAATCGTTTCGGATGCCGTGCAGAAAAGCTTCCGATAAAGAGTGTAACCAGTAGGAATAGACAAAGTCGACTCATTTCATGAAAGAATGATTTTCCTAAAATCGAAATGATAAAATGAGAGAAACTGAACACGTGTGTGAAAGATAAGATACCCAGATATACTCTCACAACTCTTGGGCATCCTGCAGTTTCTCAGGGTCAGCTGTGCGACGGCGATCGATCAACGTCGATATCAGATTGTTCGTGGAGATCGGGAGAGGCGGTGTTTCTTCATGTTTCAAGGCTTCAAGTTAATTCGATTAACTAGTTTGATTTGGAAGAATTTAACGGAGAGGCACTGGCGCTTGGACATTTGGGTACCCTCTTCTCACTTGGGCCGCCTAATCCTAATCCTCTTTGAAGCCTCTTCCAACTGTGCGGGCGATAAACTTGTTCTCTGGGGCAGTTTATGTTGTTGAACCAGTTGAACCTCAAATAATCAATCGAAATGACTCGAATCAAATTCTGTTCATTGTTGTTATTCGATGCCCGGACGTTGCTCATTTGATAGTGCCGCTTTTAAATGTGGATACAGTATGAAAAAGGAATATAAAATACAGAGACATTTTGATAAACACCTGTTACATAACCCCTTTTATTCCAAATTCTTTTTGGACTCCTTCAGTAATTTTCCATAATAAGGCGCTCAATAGTACCAGGATAAGTGTTTTTTCGCTCAACGTTCCAGACCAAGTTTAATCAAGCGTCTCCCCTATGTTGAAAGGCACAGTTTGCGATCATTTTGTGGCATCTACTTAAAGACGAAAGGGGGAAGTAATAGACCACAGTAGTTTGAAAGCGGCGAAGAAAACGCAAAAATCAGCGTATAAAGAGAAATATAAGCTCCGAAATAGTAGCAAAATCGGGAATTGGACGAGAATGAGGAGGCAAAACTCGCATTGGAAAGGTACTCGGACGAGTTGTCCACGTGTGTGTATCATTGCTCACAGCTGGCTACCGTAAGCTGCCTGATTGCAACGGGGAATGGTACGAACGTGCGTCCGAGGACGCGCGCGGCGAAGGTCGTGACTATTTGTATGACTTTGACGCCAACTTTCGGGGCACAAACTCTAAGTAGAGTAGTTTATTAGGGTCAGTTGATTCTTCTATCTATTCTACTTCGAATTTGGGCCCCAATGATAGGCGCTAAAGTCGCTCAAATAGTCACGAACTTCGCCGCGCAATTTGCCGCGCGCATCCTCGGACGCACGTTCGTACACATACCCGATTGCAACGTGTGAGTGCCGTGTGAATAGGGCAACCCTACAGCCATAGAAACTCGTCCACTTTGGGTGTCTACGTCGACTAAGCCAGTCTTGGGGCCTTAGTATGCTCTATCTAGACCCCGACAGCGTCTCTTGTGCTATCCTTTGGAGGCACAGGTTCATTCCGGAGAGAAATCTAAGAAACCACATAGAGACGAAGTACGAGTGCTCACTTCTTCGTAGTTTCAAAGAAAATTTGAGCTTGTGTCGCCCCCCCAGGAGAGCTAAAATTGGCCAATTTGAGCGAAACGCCCCACATCTTCCACTCTTCATTGACTGAACATTTTCATTGTATTCGCAGAAGCTGATATTACTTATCGAACTAGAATTCGCTGTTTAAGTTTTAGAGAACTGAATGATTTGAAGGAAATACTGTATTTCTAAGTCTCTCTAATAATGAAAAGGATATATCCGAGCCGAACAGTCATACGAGAAAACGATAGAAAGATGATCTTCTTTTTTTTGTTTTCACGGCTGGCTCCTCTTCACTTCATGAAGTCGTGCCTCAAACATTATTACAGCCCAGAACAGTTGTTTGTCAAAAGTACGTTGATTGATCGGTCACCAACGATTTATCTTTCGTCTTGCGTCTTTTCGTCGCCGTCGACGTCGGGCTGGCGTGCCTGTAGATTGTTCTCTGTTTCCTCATTGATGGCCTTCTTTTTGCCTGTTAATTTGTTGGACGCTCTTGGAGACTTGCACGATTTTTCGGTTCTCAAGACAATTGTTTTATCATTTATTATAGGACCGTTAGGACCCCTTCATGTGCTCCCGAAATAGATGTTCAACTCTAGAAACTAGTAAATAGAAGATATTTATGCAGTAAAGTTTGCTTTTGTCTTTAGCCTACTTGCAACACAAGTTAAGGAATACTGTTTTCAAAGAATCATTCGTATCACTACTTACCACCATTAGCCATTACCGTTATCACTTATAGATATGCTAGCTTGCCCTGGGCTGAAAGAAACTACGACCACTGATGGTGACCAAAGACACTTTTGCTGTATCAATTAGAAAACTAGGCTCTGAGTAAGGGCTCAACGGTTACCTCGAAACGATGTCATCTGCAGATAAAAACTTTCAAAAAAGATTGTGGCATATACGCCATTCCACTGAGAATTCACGAAAAAAGTCACTTAGGACTCTGGGAGTAAGGGCTCAACGGTTACCTCGAAACGATGTCATCTGCTCATAAAAACTCTCAAAAAAGATTGTGGCATCTTCGCCATTTCACTGAGAATTCACTGAGAAAGTCCCTCAGAACTCAGCATTAGACATCGGGCATTAGACCCTTAGACCTATTTCGTAGTGGTTCCGATATAGTAGAAAAGCCTTTGTTCTGCCTCATTATCCTGGCTTTCTTCTGTCTATGGCATCTTACCTTGCTGAGCTGAGATGTCTGTCTCTTCCATACCCTCTCTGAAGTCTTCGAATTCCAAACTATCGCTGATCAGGGGCAGTTCTATTTATTAAAAGCCTTAAGTAAAGAACACCGTGGAGTATTTGTGGAATAAGCACAAGGTGGTCATATTGGTCTGTTTCCGCTTCATACCTCCCACCTGCTTTAAATGTCCCGAATATTGATGACCCGGAGCCCTTTCAGTTCAATTCTTAGAGTTGGGAAACTCAAAAAGGTCCGCCAACTAGAGGGTTTCGTGCTACAGTCCAAGCAGTCGAGGAAATAGGAAAATAAGTATCAAAATATCAAAATATTATCGACGCTGATATCATTCAACAGTGCTCGTGGATCCAACACGAAGCCTGAGCCCATTATACTCCACCACCTTTCTTACGGCTGGTATGAGAAGCAGATGGGACAGACATTTCGGGATACGAGTCGTGGGCGGGGT